TGTCAAGGTTCCCTAGACCACATGATGTGGACAGATCCATTTCTTTTTCAGCATTGCCATGCTGCCTTCAGGGCTTGCAGATCCAGGACGTCATCATCCTGACAGTTCTCCTCATCGTCTTGGTGAGAGTCTCTACTTAAACGATTCGTTAAAATATACTATTGGACATGTCTGGTTCCGGGGGGAATGTTTTTGTACCATCTTCGAACAGAAATTTATAATTAAAAAAAAGTTGTTTAACATAATATGAAGCACGCATACCGATAAAGAGCAAGGCCAATTTGACAGATTTCGACATAGGTCAAGTTTCGGTATGATACCTTTGGTCGTCCTCACTGCAGCCATATGAGTTTTTCATTGCCTGAAAAATGACTCGCAGAAAATAAAATTACTGAACTAATTTCTGAAAATGCCACAAGTGTTCCACAGAAGCATTCTGTGGAACTTCCATAAATGTTAAATATACAGGGTCTTTCTAAAGTCGCGCAACCCTATATATAACCCTTTTGCACTCTGCCTAATTTCCAAGTACCTGGTGACTCGTGCTTTCAACCAGACGATGATAACCGCTCATAAGCGAGAATCTCTAGTCTCCAAACCTCGTTATTTTTTGTAGGGATACCATAAGAAAAGAGTATGGCAAACAATCACAGACTTGGAAACGTTGAAGCAAAACATTGCACAGGCCATTGCCTGCATCACTCGTGCGACCTTACGCTATGTTAAACGCGAACATGCGCAAGCGTGACGTAATGTGCTTGCAGGAACGCGATGGTCACTTCCAACAATTGCTCTTACACTCTTTTTCATAGGTAAGATTTGTTCCTTCGATATTAAGCCAGTTTGAATTATTTCAACTCAATTTAAGTTACTCAAAAAGTATTTTATATTACGGGTTGCGTGACTATAAAAAGACGCCGTATAACCTGTATATTCCCATAGAACTAATGAATAATCCTCAGCAAATTGCTTCCATTGTTTCTTCCCTATTTGGAGAACAGACACGGGTAGATCCATATGTTCATAGAAATTCCCAGGAATTTGACAAGTTTTGCCGTTTCCTCAGAGACGTGCATTCTAATGGCGTTATCAGTCGATGTAGTGCTAGCTCCTTTTTTCATTTTTTTTCTAGGTCGTCACGGCAATCGTTCTCCGAATGTGGCAGCGTTTGCCACAAGAAGAAAGAATTCAGGCGCTACGAATGGCCCAAGTCTGGGGAGAGGACCTCCAGCAGCTTCTAGAAATAATAAGGATTATAATAATAAGGTTAGCAACCGTGAGTTAGCACTTCCTTCAATTGTGGAACAATGACTCTCACGAGTCATGACCATGAATCCGATGGAAGATACTGCTTCAAGGTATCAGAATTTCCCCATTGCCATAGCTCGAGTAATTGTTAACCAGTTACTGACACATTCCTTAATATCGAAAAACATGATTAAAAAAAATTAGGCGATATCCATCCAAGACTGGGACTCTGGCTAATTCCTTTCGATTCTCAGGGCTCGCTTTTGCCTAATTTATTGCATTGTCCTCTGTGAAAGTTCGGGGCTCGTTTTGCAAAAATTACTTAGAAGGCCAAATCGATCAAAATTGTAATTCGATTGATCGCGAGCTTCTTCAAGTATTAATATTTTAATTGACGACTTAGTTCGAATCCAACCCCAAGTCAACACAACTCTCAAAGGAAACCTGAAAAGCATTCTGAGTATGACAAATCAAGGTTTTGACTGGTCGGCGCAAAAATGAGCACCCTGAATCACTATTGGCTCAATCTGTACACAAAGACATTCAATTTAAAAAAAAATGTATTTAAGAGATAAGGAAAATTTTCCTGTTCACTAAGATATTGCAATGCATCATTTCCAGTTGGCTTCTGGAGGAGAAAATTCCTTCCAACATATTTAATACCTTTCTTTAATCAGTTAAGGTCATCTCCAACGAAGTCGATGAAGGGCTGAAAGACAAAGTGGTCTATCTGCAAAAAATTTCCGAAAAAAGTGTTGGTTTTTGTGCTTTAGAACCTTGTTCCTTTCATAGAAATTATAGTTTTTTTAATTAGGTAAAGGAGGAAGTGCTATATCGATACATACCACTTTTTCTCTTTTAACAACACGGTCACTTGAATATTCACTCATTCCGTGTGGAGCTGGAGGAAAGAAGATTTTGCAGATAGACCGCTTTGCCTTTCAGCCATTCATATTATTTGATGAAAACCTGATATATCCTGTGACTTAGTTGTGACAGGTTGATTGCTCTTTCCGTTTTCAGGTGTCGTGAGAATGGTCCGACATGACAACCAAGCTGTGATAAGATCACTCGTGATGTCATTCGTCACCTGGTTTTATCCTTGTTTTAAAATCTCACAATAAATTAATTCTCAAACATGCAAGTTCTATGATTCCATCATGCATGAATCCGTTCACTGAATATGGCTGGTTGGCGATCTCAAAGTGTGGGATGGGAGAAACAATTCACTCTGCTTTCATACTGATGTTCGGGAGAAAAATCTGCAAGACTGAGCTTATCCCGTCCAACTCGGCAAAAAGAGATTTCTTCACCTGCGTCTCAGTTGAATCCTTGTGTATGGAAAAGTAAAATTTTCCAATTCACTAAGATATTGGAAAGCATCATTTGCAGTTGACTTCTGGAGGAGAAAATTCTAGAGAATATGTTTCTCATCCTCTTGATCGACTGCCGACGTCGCCATCACCGTCACCACCACCGCCGTCGATATTATAAAACGTCCTCTATTTTGATCGCCATCGACGACGACCGCCACCACCGCCATCGACTTTAGATTGAGACGTCCGATGACAGAGAAAATGTTTTTCATCCTCTCGATCGACCGCCGCCGCCATCACCTTCACCACCACCGCCGTCGATATTATATGACTTTCTCTATTTTCATCGCCTTGGTCGACGACCGCCAACACCATCACCACCGCCGTCGACTTCATCTTTAGTTTTCATTCTCATCGACCGGCATCGCCATCGCCGTCAACTTTATTACTGACGAAACAACATGACAGATTTGAATCAAAAATAAATTTATTATGAAACGTTCTCTATATTCATCGCCATCGACTAGGAGCGCCACCACCGCTGTCGATATTATATAACGTTCTTCTATTTGCATCGCCATCGACGACGACCGCCACCACCACCGCCGTCGGTCATCGTTTCTCTTTTTCTTCTTTTAACGGGAAACCGTTTTAATGACACATTTTTGGACCCGAAATTCCGGGTGAACGAGAAACGCGCGCACTAAAAAAAAAATCTCTTTCTTATCGACCGCAAGGGGAAGGCGACCTTGAAGTCTAGTCTGGCTTCCACATGTGGCTCTCATGAGATAATGTGAGGTTGCGCATCCCTCTCAAGAGGCTTGTGAGGTTCCTCATGAGGTTATCACATATCCTTTCTCCATGTGAATTTCCCCTCAATCCCCTCAAGAGTACAGCTTTTTTCATCTCGATTTGAGCATGAAGGAATCTATCTTCCCTAATTTGGCTGCATTAAAAGATGTAAAATAATATTGATGTTGCTACTAAGACAAAGGCTTTCTTGAACAGCAGACTGTTTCATACAAGTATTAAATCTGACAGCAGCAAGTACCAGATGAGGAGCATGTAAATTCCTTGACAGTTTGCTTATTCAAGAAGCAATTTTTTGCTATACTCCAAAATATATTTGTAAGTGTGATGTGAGGATTTCTTCAGTTGCAAGGTTTTCAGTTATCAGAGACACTAAAGGGATCCAATTTCTGTCATAGATTTCACCTTCATGGTAGGATATAAATAGGAGCATCATGCTTTATAATGAGGATTGCAATGGATCTGTAGCACTCTGATGCCTTAAGACATGTAAATGATGCAATGCATTCCTGCAGTTCCTTTCTTTCTTTCCATTTCTGATACTACAATGAACCCTAAGGAGCCCCAAACCCCGGTTGTTAATGGATCGCTTTAGAAGCACTGATGGTAATTATCTTTTGCCTGTTCTTCAGACATTTACAGACTTCTTGAATACATTTCCCCTTGCATCGACCAGCATCGCCATCGCAAGGGGGATGGGACGCGCCAAACCGGACGAACGGTGCGGCCCGCGCGCCTGACTCTTGGACGGAAATAGCCGCGATAGTGGCTATAGTGATGATAGTTATGTGGTTATCAGGCACAGCTGACGAAAGACAAGGAATTCTTAGGATTGCGGAATTATTATTATTGAAAATTGTGGAAATGCTTATGAATCGTCAGGAATAAATGGACCGTTGATGCAAAATGTGTTGCGCTGAGTCCAATAATCGGTTGACGACATGTTGCACGACGCCTTTTGAGTGACTACTCCGTTTTGAGAGGAGCCCTGCTACCGCTCTCGCTATGTCTGGACTCTTCCACTCGTCATGCATCCGCGTCTCGTGCGACGGGATTCTCTTCCTCGGATCACATTTTCCTGGGACGGGTCGGTGCCTCGAGCAATGACCTTGAGCATTTATTTTTATTACTGGATTTATGATGCATTTTCTCTGAAATAAAGCTGTATTATCAGATAATGCTTTGTTCAAAAATCCACCCTTAGGCTCGGTTCGGGGACACTTCCGGCGTCGAAGGCCTGGGTCTTGGGCGCACGGAATGTAGTGATTTGGAATCACTACATTCCGTACAAAATTTTTCAAACCTTGAAAGTTCACAGCCTAAGTAGTCCTTGGGATTTGTTCATGCGACAACATAAGCCTCAGAAACAGCCAGGCCCCAAAACATAACCATAAACGGACATATAGAAACGAAGATTTGCATGTGGAAACCATTCCTTCTTTTCCGAATTCCGAAAGCGGTGCTTTGGACTGGGGAGAATATAAAAGACAGGAGTCTCCTGCACATGAGATCAGCCTCCCTCATTCTCTCTCGTTTGTGGGTAAAAGCGAAGTTATTGTGCTGTAAAAAACCTCGTTATAAACTCACTGGTTCTCATGAGCTAAGGTAAGGTCACATGTCCCTCTCATGAGGCTAGTGAGATACCTCATGAGGAACTCCCATCTCCTTCTTGAGGTTAGTGAGGTTCCTCATGAGGAACTCGCATGTGTGTCTCACTTCATTGGACCTGGCCGCTCAGTTCGAAGGAGAGGGACATGAACGCAGCATGTACATGGCTCGAGTACGAGTGTGTTTCGCTTGGTCTTGTGTTCTTTTTCTGCTATGCTATTAAATCTTTGTGATTCTCTATCATGTTTAGGACTAAATTGGTTTGCAGTGTGAGACTGGTGAGACTGAGTAGAAATTTAAGAAATCCCAGGTTAGAAATACGCCGTTATTACAGCAGAAAGTGTGACTTTGGCCTAGCATAGTCTTGCCGAAGAGTGAGATCGATTCTATATTGTGTGGATGTAATTTGCTTCTTTCAGATGATGAGACACTAGGTTGTCATGAATAACATCCAGCCTAACCTAACAGGCAGCACGCCTGAGGTTGTCATGGGAGTGGTACGTGACACAATTTTAGGCTGTAGGCCTAACTTCTGCCGAGCATAGTCTCGCCAAGGAATGGGATCCAGTTATGCTGAGGCTTGATGTGTTATGTACTTGTGTCAGGCGATGAGTAGTGGCTGATAAATAAATAATTCATAGGGGACTTTCCCATTTTCATATTAATTCATTTTTGAATGTTTAAAAATTCTGTAGACGATGGAGCAGAGCTGGTGCCCCTCTGTACCCCTTCAGATTATCCCTGCCCATGCGGATCCAGCACCGATGAGAAACCATGTTGCAACCGAGAACATCCAGCCCAACATAACAGACTCCATACGTGATGGTCTCACAATTGCACAGCAAGAATTCAAAGGAGGAGACCAATTTACAGCTCATGAGGTTTGTACCAAATTTTGTGGAAATCATTTTTGTCATATCCTTTAGCATGATCAGTGAACGACTTATAGAAAAAGAAAGTAAATTTTCTCTTTTAATTCAGTATCCTTCAGCCATGCATGTTATATAAAAATAATTTAGCAATAATATTTTCCCCCCAAAGTGTATTCTGCTGAGCAGCGGTAGCTCGTGATATTCAGCAGTAGTGGATCGTCAATGGAGGCAGAGTAGGCCCAGGCCTACCCTACCTCTATTAAGAATAGCTTCCACTGAATATCACAAGCTGCCCATGCTGCTGAGGTGGCTAGTGTTGAAAGCACACTCACTGGCCTATGTTAGCAAATATGGGATAAGATACAAGTTTCTATCTTAATTCTCAGTTTTCTGCAGAAATGTGCCTTTTCATTCTAGTTCCCAAAAATCTTACTTTTTACAGATCATTCATTTCTATTAGGGTTTCTGAATTCTCACAACTATACTTTTTTTTTTAGCTGTTTTTTAAGATTTTAACCCATGACAGAAACCTTGTGAAGTTTTTCATAATACTTTTTGTGTTTTAGTATTCCTCTATCTTAAACTTAAGCTTTCTAAATTGCAGGTATACATGGATCAAAAGTCAAATATTTTTTAATTTCCAGATCTTAGTGGGGCATTTGGAGAAGTATTTGGAGCTATGTTGTGCTGGAGAAAAAGATGAGGAAAACTGTTTGCAACAGTTTGAAAAGCTGCACCGTGATCTGACCGATTCATTGTTGCTTCATCTTTCAAAAGTGTTGGAAGGAAATCCACCCCCTGAAATGGGAAACAACCATCAGATGGAACAGGCATTTTTCAAGATGCTCCCTATCATAGAAAAAGAGGACGCCATGGATGCAAGATGCATTGAGGTATCATATTAGACCAGGCTTGAGTCTTGAAAATATGTTACCTTTCACAGTGCATATGCTAAAAGTTGAGCTGCTCTTGTCATTGGTCATTTCAATTCTCATTGTTGTAAATAGATACCTATAATTGTAGACATTATTCTTGCTATGCTCTCAACTTGCTCAATACACTTCACTGGGTGATTCCCATTGAGGAGATTTTCAGTACTGATACAGTATTGCAAGAACATAAATACACTTGACAGTCTGGATCGAGAAGCATTTTTTATAAGACGGTCAGCTTTAGGAAAGTTTTCCTCTGGGAGGGAAAAATGGAAATCCACTCCGTGTTCTTTTGGTTCATTCTAATGTACATGTCATTTCTTCAACGTGTTCTGCAGAGTGATAGGGCAGGCCTCAAGTTTCCTTGGAGACCCATGAGGTGGAAGGAAAAAGTATATCTGAAGATGGAGACCCTGCTACCTTTGAGAATCAAGAATTTTCAGCCCCCACCTCAGAGTGAATCTCTGGAAGAGTTCATATCCTACTTGAAAGAACTAAAGCAGATGGCATGCTCTGACATCAGGGTCTTGGAGAAACTTGCCTCTCGTTCCCCAACTCCTCATTATAATATATGCAAGGACTTCATTCAGATGTACCACAGGTGCCTTGCAAATCAAGTAAGTGCAGTGAAATGATGGTCTTTGCATTTTTATCTGTCATAGTCAGACTGATGGATGCCAGTAATACCATGTAGCTAAAAGGGGTGATCCCATTGGACCCTTACCATTATAAACCTGCCAGAGAATGGGTCCTGGAGCTGAATTCAGGCAGTGAAGAGGTGTTCAATTTCAAGGATGAATATGCTCCCATTTGGAATGAATGGGAGAGAGGATTTATTATGGTTAGTATATTCATTCCTAATGGTTTGCTGCATTGACTGTTTGCAATACACTAATCAAAGTTACTTCATGTATTATCAGAAACATGAAGAACACTTGTCAAAAACACTGGATAAGGCAGTGAAGAAATGGCACAACACCGGTGAAAATGATGATGATGATGGTGTCTCCACTTTGAGTGAAGTGGTTCCATCAGGATATTTTGGTCTAAGGTTTGTCTTTGCATTAAGTTGATCATATCCACTCTTCCTATCTCAAAGAATCACAGCTCCCAAAAGGAATGGCTGTGTCAATTGCACCTTCACCATCATCTGCACCCCTTTGCAGCAGGTGCAACACCACCACCTTGGAAACTATTTTTCCAGCCTGCATTGACCAGATTATCCAATTCCTATACAAGTGTAAGGATGAAGTCAAGAAGTACAAGGATGAGTATATTCAAGATCCCAATAAGGTATCTGAAGTCTTGAGATCCCAAGACCAGGATTGAAATTGTGAAGAGGGATTTTTGTGAATTGATCATACCTTTTCTCTTCATCCCTCAGTACCCATGTTTCACCAAGTACATGGTGGATGTTGTAAATGACATGCTGGAGATCCCCGGAAGGTTTTATTGGCATCCTGAAAACTTCAAGTCCAAGGTGGAAAAACTCAAAGCTGTTGCATTGGTGAGGTTTCAAAACTCATGTACTAACACTGCGTCTTGGTATTATGGTTGACTGGCTGAAGTTTGACCACATCTTTCCTGTCTGTTGGTGGTGGTCCTAATCCTGGTAAATATCACGAAAGTGGAAAAAACCAACATGCTAAATACTTTTATTTGAATGTTAGGTGCTTTCTTCAACTTTTTCTGATTGGGAATTAATTTTTTGTCATGGAGGACCAGAGGCACATGCATTTTCAGGTATGATTTGTATCAAATGTAGAAACTGATGGTACTAATCCACTTTGCTGGTTTCATTAATTAATTGCTTGAGCGTTTGTATTCATTCTTGCATTTGGAAAGTTTCACTATTTTCAAAACCCCATATGCCTCTCTCTTGGATTTCAACACATACATTAAATTGCTTCATTTCTTGAAGACTTGGTGGAACAAAGATGGAAAAATCCAATCTCTATATTGCATATGACAGATGAACCCTTCTGCACATGATATCCACTTCAGTGAACAGCTATGATTTTGGCAATAGTTAGGCTTTTCAGCCACCGGGACCCTCAAAACATCTGCTGCATGCAGTTCACTCCAGTGCACATTACTATTCTGTGTTACTTTCTGGCAGTAGGACATGTGAATACAATGGCAGAGTACCATCAGAAACGTTAAAGCAATAGAAAAATTCTATTTTTTCCTTTGAAAAATTCATGCATTGTCTTTGTCATGTTTAGTTCTGTTATACTTCTATACTATTTTGCATCTTCATGCCAATTATGATCTATGACAGTTAAGTGAATGCCTATTCCTTGGATACAAAATTGTTCACAAGCTTTCCTCTGGAATTCCAGGAGGTACGAGATGAAGTAGCAAGGATGCTCGGGCTCCTTGGGGCTATCGATCTGGAGAAGGACATTGCCCATGTTTTCAACAGCAACCAGCTTGATGGTGAAAGTGCAGCAAATACTATCTCAGCGATCATGGATAAATTTTTCTACAAACATGAGCACCTTAGAAGAGAGAACCTTATCCCCATTGCTCGCATGTTCGCGGACATGAGCAAAACTGCCATGCTGAGCAGGGAGCAGCAGCAGCTAACATCAACCACAAGTCTGCCTAAGAGAAAGAGGGAGGACTGGAAAGGACTTGGCCATGCAGATTACTTCCAAAAAAGGAAAAAGCAGAAGGTTATAAAGAACAAAGCAAATATTTACATGCCTGACAACATGGTCCTTATGCAATTTTGAACATTTTCAGGAGGATAATAATTTACCCCATTTCTAGGAAGAAGAGTAATTATTAAAGTAAATGTTATGTGAACCAGGGACAACAGACAATCAATTGCCTGATACAAAAGTAGATTTTTTTGCAAATTTCATTTCTTTGCTTTGAAAAATACCTATATTCTTTCCCTTTAGGAAAATGTAACACTTGAATGTGTCCCCATGTCAGGCTTGTGACAAAGTGGGTTGTGGATACTTACATATGTTGTAATGAATTCATGATTTGTGAGTTATGTATCTGAGACCTTTGAAATTCATTTTTTTTAATTTCATGTAGACAAAGGGGACCGGATCAGGTGTTCAGTGTGAGGAATCTCCTTTGAAGAATAGGGAGACTACAAGATTGCAAAAGGAGAATGGGGAGTTGAGGCAAATGGTTGAAAAACTTCAAGAGAAGAACCAAGGTCTCTTTTTCCCCTCAGTCTTTTTCTTCTGGTTGACTCAGTGATTGATGGAAAAGATCATACTGCATTTATATCCAAGGGGAGTTCCAGGTCCAATGGTGCTTTATTTTCCACACTAGCAAAAGGTAAGGCAAGAGCAGTGGAAATTTGTATTGAATAACCTGAAGATGAAGGGTGGAAATTTCCGGAGAAGGAAGGTGTCAAGGTGGTGGAAGTCCACTGTAGAGTAACGTAATAGATTGGTAATGCTGCTCCACCACGGTGAATGGTGAACCATTGGTCTGACATGTTAAAAAATGGGTGTGAATCAGTTACCAATGAGGATTGTGTGCATCCATCAGGAACAACTGTGACACCGGTATTGTGTTCTGGGAAATCTTGGGTGTGATTTGTGTGGAATTTCTGAAACGCAGTAACAATGCTGATGCAAAGTACAGGGTCTTGCATAACCTTTTGCTAGGGGGGTTAAGATCCAGAGAATTTCCCAGCCATTGTGTCCGCTCAAAGAAATCAATTTCTGAATCTTGGAGCAATTGTTGGGTGGCATTTGCCCGGTGACACGGGCACTGTCATGCAGGTAAAAGACTTCTGTGGGATCTATCACATTTTCTGGATTAAAAAAAAATGGAATGACATTTTCTGTCAGAATAGACTGTTGATAATAGGCTCTATGCACCATTTTCTTTGATGACCCACATCAGTTTGATAGCGGCAACATAAATGCAGTGCAATCACTTTTCTTGCAAATCTGTTAATACTCATTGACTTCGATGTCCTCCAGAGAAAGAGACCACACCCTGTCATTTTGATAATTGGGTTAACGAACAGTCCAAATGAAAAATTCATCACTTGGAGCAAGGTGCATGAAGTCATTTTCATCATACAGGCACAAATAATCACAAAACCATAGCTGATTTTCAGTGCTGCTTGCAGACTTCATTGGCTCTGGAATCACATGAAAAGCCAGCCTTAATTTCTTTCTCGATATGGCATTGTTGTATCGTTGACGGATGAACAATCTTTCCACGCCTCTCTGAGATGTCTTTTGCTACCCGACTGCAGCTTCTTTGTCTTTTCCCACTGTTTTCCATCACAATGCTTCTGCTCTCCTGAGACAATTTTTCTGGCCTGCCGTCATCAAATTTTGTAAAACGAGATTTGTATTCTTTTTTTCCAGTTGTCAGTAACCCATCTTTCACTGTGATGCAGTTTTTGAGCAATCCACTTTCGATTGACACTTCTCAAAAGGCATTTGCTCGGATGCAGTCTATCACATGTTGTCCTTCGTCATTGCCAATGGCACCATTCATTTTCTTTTTTCAATGACTAATCTGAAACATGAACAAAATTAGCTTTTATATGTATGACACTCACATTTTTGATACTTTGTAATTGCTGTACCCCCCTAGCAAAAGGTTATGGATGACCCTGTACTACATTGACCTTTTGAAAGGTAATATGCAGCAGGCTATGCACAAGAAGCTCCCAGGGCAACTGAGTAGAGACATGATCATGTTCCATGAAAATATTCTCTCTCATTTGGCGAACATGGCCATCACAACCATAAACTGACTGGGTTGTTTTGGAACACCCCCTTACAGTCCAGATCTCTCCCCAGGTGACTTCCACATGTTAGGACCTTAAAAAAAAAAAACATTAGTTTGTGTTTATGTTGAAAACAGATGAAGAGGTGCAGAGTTGCATCCTCCCTTGAGTCCAACAACAACTTTAAGTCCTTTCTGCCAAAGGCTTACAAACTCCATCCCACAGATGGGAGAAGTGTACATGTGTAAAGGGGGAATACATCAGAAATTAGACAAACTTCCATGTATGTATCTCTTCTTGGGGCTTCTGTGTAAAATAAAGTGTGATTGGACCTTGAACTCCCATCATACATATGCTTTCAGAACTGGAGATAATGCTCCAGAAGAATTTGGAAATTATACCTGCTACCATCAAGCAGACAATTACAGAGCAGCTTACATCTGTTCTAAACCAAAGGTACTTTACAATTTTTACATGCAGGGTGTCCCAAAGATGTTGTCCTTTGTTTTAACTTAGGTAACTTTTTTTTATTTTCATGCGAACAGCATGGAATTTTCTCTCCCTTTTACAGGAAGCCCTAGACTATGTAAATGCATGATGGAATTAACCCTAGATTAATTCTAGGGTTAATTCCATCATGCATTGCCTACTGGAAGGTAGGATATTCTGGTGACTTCCAGTTTCCAAAAGTTTTCTTTTCCACCTGTTAATTTGCCTCATGGATGATGGTTCTTTTCCATATTCCCTTTTGAATCGGTGATGACTCTCAAACTATAGGCCAGGCTGTGTGCATCTAAGTTTATCTTCTAGGGTAAATTCCATCATGCATCTATTCAAGGGCTTCCTGTAAGAAACAAAAAAAATCTATCGTAATTTGCATGAAAATTAACATATGTATCTAACTTCCAATGTTGGATTACATTTCTGGGACAACCTGTACATTACTTTCCTACTCTCCCCTACAGCATTTTATCTCTATCTGCATATCAACAAAACATAATTACTTTCACTCACTTATGTTTCCTCATAGTAAAGCAGCTGACCAATATTGTTGTTGCAGACTGCTGTCTGCAAGTTCCATACCTCCTGCTCCAACAGTACCAAAACTTGTTGAGAATGGACTGGAGACTGATGTTCCATGCAATGAGGTATCATTAGGAGCATTTGACAAGCTCAATGAATTGGATGTTTCAGGGCTTCTTGCAAATGAAATTGAAGTCAATTTTGTGAACTATTCTGACCATTTTCCAGCCTGCTACTGCTCCAAGTGGAGATGTCCCCATTTCTCTTAGTGAGGAGCAACAAGTGGAGCTGCAGCATTATCAGCATCAATTTGGTCACTACACAGCTAAACTAATGCGAATGAAGTTCACAAGTGAGGAACTGCAGAGATGCAGCATTTTTGGAAGAGAACGAAAGGGACAGAAGCCTAGGGAACCCTTGCCCGAAGAAATGCGCCAATTTGTCGAAAGTGAGTTGAGTTGCTCTGAATTCATGAATTTACTGAATTTTTAAAATAAATTATATGTTTACCATATAGATCACTTGAGAGAAAAATTTGGGAAGTCTCTTACTGAGGTCCGGAGTAAAATGTCCCAGATATTGAGAGACCAACGGAGCTCCAAGAAGAAGTCCTAGTCTTCTGGCCCAATCTTTGAGAAATGCACGGTTGATGGATGATGTGTCAATGTAAATTATTATATATGAAATAAATTGCTTTTTATTTTTAATGAAAATTTTCCTCTTTCTGGAAAGTCAGGAACTGAATCACATATTATGGCAATTAAAGAAGTGAAAGTTTACTTACAACAAATGTCATATGCTCTAAGGGTTTTTGGTTGGCTTTAGTGGTTCCTAACTTTGATGCAGTAAAATTTCACTATTTTCATTTTTAATTATTGCCAAAAAAAAAAAACAAAGCAAGAAAGCCCTGACACTAGCAAGAAGGCTTTTTCATCCACTAAAAATGAATTTTTCTAAGACCCCCCCGATGGAGGAAAAAAAATTAAAACTTGCCAAGTGTTGGACCTGCCGAGTGTTGAATGTGTCTTCGATATGAATGTGTTGGTCGATTCTAAAGCTAGCGGAACTGTTCAAGGCTGTTTGCTGTTGGAAAAATTTACATGTGAAATATTGAGATTTCTGCACATCATCCTGCTCATAACAATAACCAGTAATCGCAATTAGCGGCTTCTACTGTAATATTCTTATTCATGCTTATTGGAATAGATTCATTTTACAAAATCCAAGGACTCATGAGACCTAGTGAGATAAAACTCATGAGGCTTCTGATTGATATCCTCATGAGGATCTCATGAGATTTTCTTGAGATTCTCATGAGGTTCTGTCAATGGGGTATATAAGAAGGAGAACGCATGAAGCTCTCAGTCACTTTGTGATGGTGCTCAGGACGACATGAAGAAAACAGGTCAGTTTCCCTTGGCTTGTTAATAAGTTTTTAGAGGGGGAGAGAGAAAGATATCCTTAAAGGACGGGTTCCCTATTTCTCCTTTCTGGGTCCCCTTTTCCTTCCGATCCTTCCGCCAGACTTCTTCCTCCTCCCTCTGAATCATAATGGTGGTTGAATGAAATCCAAAAGAAAATAAGAACTCGTCGTCGCCCATACAGTGACCATTGTGCTTGAGCTGCTACTCCATACATTACAAGACGTCAGGTCAATTTAAATGAGGATGGTTAGTTGTAACTTTTATTTCCCAAGCAAATATCCTTTTTAAATTTGATCCCTCCAGGCCTTCCTGAAACGATGCTCGGATATTTCCCTACTTGACTAACATATATATCCAGTGATCCAATTATTTTCACGATGGTTCGAGTGTGAGGTATGCGCTTTCTAGGCTGATTCACAATAAGATATTGAAGGACGTAACTCAACCACATTCTTATCTCTTGTCAGGATTTTAGTCTTTCTCTTTAGTCAAGATTCACTTGGATCAGCTGGAGCTTTGCAAGAAACCTCTGTCTTTCTTTCTCACCATCAGGGCATTTAACAAGAAATAATTTGACTGAAATGAAGGCATGCTTGGAATTATGTACGTGGTACTTCCATGCTTGCTACGAGGTCAGCTTGGCTTAGTTGTAGGCCCATGGAGAGAAAACCTCTCATGCCAACCTCTATTCGAAGAAGAAAAGTAGTTCTGTGCTAGTTCCATCAATATCAGTCATATCATCAGAATTACGATTCGATGGATAAAGTTTTCCAAGACGTTCCTACATCAGTCGAATTAAAACGGATACATTCAACAAGAGAGGAAGAGTTTTCTAACGAACAAGCTCATAAGCAGGGGTGTTATATTGTGGAGTCCTCCTGGAGCACCTCAGGGAATGGCGTCATGATTACAGAGGGAAGAACCTCCTCCCTCATATGCATACGTACGCCAGGACATAAAGTTTCCACAAAAGCATATAGATCAAATGTGATGTTATGGAGATTAGGTAACGTAAAAAAAAAAATCTTCAAATCTCTACAGAAAATGTCTCATGAATCCTCGTCAGAACCTCATGAGAATTAGGAATTTCTCATGAACTCCTCAGTTGGTCTCAGCATTTCATTCCTGCTACATTCCCACTCAATCAACTCATATGAAATTTCTGCAGTTAAACAGAGGGAGTCAAGGTAGAAGTGGGAGGAAGAAGTCAGCCCCTCAAGAAGGAACTCCCCGACGCGACCAAGAAGACTTCCTCCACTAAAAGGAAATTTTCTAGTTAAGAGAAATATTACAAAATATTAATATACTAGCAGAGATACTCGGCATTGCATGGGTGAATATTGTATACGTCCCACATTTGAGGGCTTAATATTGTTTCAATGTCTCCTGGCAAACCCGGCTAGAAATTGTTTAAAATATGTAGCTTTTACTACATAACAAATTGCAAAATTCCAGTAGCAAGCTGCATCTTACAATTTAAATTTTTTAATGAGCCTCCAAATTTTGACTCCTTGGGGGGGGGGGGGGTCCGAATTTTGAAATGCCACCTTGCCTATGACCATCGCCGGACCAAATGAAGAAGCCATGCAAAATTTGGTTGGAGTAGCATCAGAGGCGTGGCCGTGCATAAAGGGCTTACACACAAAAACGCTCTGAAAAATACACGTGTTAAGTATTGAGATCTGATCAAAGTTTTCTGACTCATTGCAATAACCAGTGATCGCAATTAGCGGCCTCTATGGTAAAATTCATGATTTATGGCATAGAGTCACTTCGCCTTGAAGGATTCATGAGACCTAACGAGGAGAATCTCATGAGACTCCCGGTTGAGATCCTCATGAGGATCTCTCATGAGTTTTTATTGAGATTCTCATGAAGTTGTTTCAAGGGTGTATATATAGATAGGAGAGCACATGAAACTGTCACTTTGTGATAGTCCACACGCCCGCATGGAGACAACAGGTCAGTTTCCTTCTTAATACTTAATAAGGGTTTGTAGACAGGGAGGTAGGGAGGGAAGGAGGAAATGAGCGAGGGAGGGAGGGAGGGAGGGAGGGAGGGAGGGAGGGAGAGAGAGAGAGAGAGAGGGAGGGGGGGGGAGGGAGGGAGAGTGAGAAAGAAAAAGTAGGGAAGGAGGAAATGAGCGAGGGAGGGAGGGAGGGAGGGAGGGAGGGAGGGAGGGAGTGAGAGAGAGAGAGAGGGAGGGGGGGGGAGGGAGGGAGAGTGAGAAAGAAAAAGCAAACCATAAAATCAGGGGTTCCCTGCTTTACATTATGGGTCCCGCTTTCCAATACCCTTTTCCTTTTTTTACGATCTCCTTCTGCCATACTTCTTCCCACTCCCTCAGAATCATCACCATGGCTGAATACAGAACATACATCAGTCCTTGCCCATACAATGATCGTTCGGTCTGAGCGGGTGCTTCANAATCTTCGTTTCTATATGTCCGTTTATGGTTATGTTTTGGGGCCTGGCTGTTTCTGAGGCTTATGTTGTCGCATGAACAAATCCCAAGGACTACTTAGGCTGTGAACTTTCAAGGTTTGAAAAATTTTGTACGGAATGTAGTGATTCCAAATCACTACATTCCGTGCGCCCAAGACCCAGGCCTTCGACGCCGGAAGTGTCCCCGAACCGAGCCTAAGGGTGGATTTTTGAACAAAGCATTATCTGATAATACAGCTTTATTTCAGAGAAAATGCATCATAAATCCAGTAATAAAAATAAATGCTCAAGGTCATTGCTCGAGGCACCGACCCGTCCCAGGAAAATGTGATCCGAGGAAGAGAATCCCGTCGCACGAGACGCGGATGCATGACGAGTGGAAGAGTCCAGACATAGCGAGAGCGGTAGCAGGGCTCCTCTCAAAACGGAGTAGTCACTCAAAAGGCGTCGTGCAACATGTCGTCAACCGATTATTGGACTCAGCGCAACACATTTTGCATCAACGGTCCATTTATTCCTGACGATTCATAAGCATTTCCACAATTTTCAATAATAATAATTCCGCAATCCTAAGAATTCCTTGTCTTTCGTCAGCTGTGCCTGATAACCACATAACTATCATCACTATAGCCACTATCGCGGCTATTTCCGTCCAAGAGTCAGGCGCGCGGGCCGCACCGTTCGTCCGGTTTGGCGCGTCCCATCCCCCTTGCGATGGCGATGCTGGTCGATGCAAGGGGAAATGTATTCAAGAAGTCTGTAAATGTCTGAAGAACAGGCAAAAGATAATTACCATCAGTGCTTCTAAAGCGATCCATTAACAACCGGGGTTTGGGGCTCCTTAGGGTTCATTGTAGTATCAGAAATGGAAAGAAAGAAAGGAACTGCAGGAATGCATTGCATCATTTACATGTCTTAAGGCATCAGAGTGCTACAGATCCATTGCAGTCCTCATTATAAAGCATGATGCTCCTATTTATATCCTACCATGAAGGTGAAATCTATGACAGAAATTGGATCCCTTTAGTGTCTCTGATAACTGAAAACCTTGCAACTGAAGAAATCCTCACATCACACTTACAAATATATTTTGGAGTATAGCAAAAAATTGCTTCTTGAATAAGCAAACTGTCAAGGAATTTACATGCTCCTCATCTGGTACTTGCTGCTGTCAGATTTAATACTTGTATGAAACAGTCTGCTGTTCAAGAAAGCCTTTGTCTTAGTAGCAACATCAATATTATTTTACATCTTTTAATGCAGCCAAATTAGGGAAGATAGATTCCTTCATGCTCAAATCGAGATGAAAAAAGCTGTACTCTTGAGGGGATTGAGGGGAAATTCACATGGAGAAAGGATATGTGATAACCTCATGAGGAACCTCACAAGCCTCTTGAGAGGGATGCGCAACCTCACATTATCTCATGAGAGCCACATGTGGAAGCCAGACTAGACTTCAAGGTCGCCTTCCCCTTCTCATTTTTCTGAATGCAAACATAACTTGCCCTACAGGGGACAAGCAGAGGCATGAAGGCAGGAAATGACGCGAGCACAAAAGGGTCACGGCATGCATGTCGCATGTTGATAGCCTGCATCAATGAGAGTTGGTCCTATTAAGGAAAATCCCATGACTCGAAATGAGATTCAGTTGCAACCAACCTCTTTCAGATAAATTTTTGTCAAGATTCCTATCTCTTTCCTGTGAAATTACTATTTATTATTTATTTATTTTTTTTTTACAGTGTTCTTTTTAAGATTTTAAAAGGCAGAAAGGTGACAAGAGCTTGCTAAAAAAAAATTGTAATCGTTAGTCCTCGCAATCAAACAGACCTGTTGT